ATTACCAATGAACTTCAGTCATGCATTCTTCCTTATGCAATATATCCTGACTGAAAATGATTACTTTCACCCCCTTGTATCTCCGAAACCGTGTCTATGTTCATCTTGAAATTTTACTGGGATTAATGTTTCATCTAATAGTACCTACTATTTGCCATAAAAAAAAGTTTGAAATTTGAGGTCCAAAAAATGAGCGAAATTTACCATCACTCTTTAATTAGATTTTAAATTTATATTATATGATAATCATTATTATAAATGTAATAATAAATATTAAAACTTAAAATTCTCTAAACTAATCTGTATAATATGGCAAATTTTTCTTTATGCTAAGTATTTATTTTTATAAAAAGTTAGATTAAATTTATAGTTTTTAATTTAGTATTAAAACTACATTCCAATATTCACTGTAGTACTGCAAATCTATGGTATATATATAATGAATTATAAATTTTGAATACTGATAGTGACTATAGAAATGTGATCTAGAAACACAAAATAGATAGAGTACAAAATATTTTTCAAAAAATAAATTAAAAATAAATTATAAAATAAAAGTATAAAAACATAAATAGAAGTAACGGCAAATTCGTTACCGTTACTGCAAAAATGTAACAACGTTACTATTACCATTGTAGGTAGAAAAAAGTAATGATCGTTACTGAAAAAAAGTAACGAAAATAACGCGTTTTCTACTTTCTAACTCTGTTAACAAGTGTGTTAAATCAAACTGCAATTTCTTTACATGCAGTATCTTCCGCATGTTTTTTTTATTGATTGTGTCGCTACTACGTATGAATAATACCTTTTCTCATGATGTCCAGTTTTCAAAGGCAAATGACACACTCCGTATCCTCTAATGACGTCGTGACCGAAAAAATCCAAGCCGTAAATCGACATGATAAGCTGTGGCCCTATATGGTAAATTACATATTTCATTATTTGTGAATTAGAAATACGAGAAAAACCCGACAGAAGCACGATGAAATCTTTTTTCACATTTTTTGCACATGCGCTTCATCCTTCCTATATAAAGCGTGCTGTAAGAATAATTTGTATATATCACTCACATCCGTGCGGATTTGTACTCTTAAACGTAATGTCCAATGGAAAATTCCAAACAGCGAGATTTCTTGGATCGTTGCTGCATTTGCACATTTGTGTCAGCCCCTCCTCGATTCCCTTCGAAAAAAAGACGCATAAGTTTTAACAAATTAGATTTCAATATATTATTTATTACTATCAAAAATAAAATATTATGAAGAAAGGTCTTTATTAGTATAACAGCAGAAAATTAATAAAATACATAGTTTAATTTTTGTATAAAATATTTTACTTTTTGTTTAAGATTATAATGACAAAGTCAATGAAAAATTACGGCATATATATTTTTTATACTGTTATTCTAGTTATTCTTTATACTATATTTAATTCTATACTACATTCTTATATACTGTTACTTTCACAATTGGTGTTCCATGTTCCAAGGAACCTTTATTATATTATAAATTATACCATTAGAAACGAAAAAATTGAACATTAATTATTTAAGAGAAAATTTTTCGTTTGTTTACAGTAAAATAGAAGTTTTGATTTTTCTACTGATTAATCATTAACTGTTAATGATAACACAAAACAAAAAGTTCGACAAGAATATCTTTAATTAACAAGGGAATCTCGCGAAGTGTGAAATTCTGATTTTAATGAGACTTGGTATACTTTAAAGTCACATAAATAGATGAAATTTAGAAATTATCAGTTGGTGCTAAAAAAACGGTTTAAAAGGATAAAACCACCCCTTATATGTAAATTAATTTTTTTTCGTTATATCTCGAAAACTATTCAAGATATCAAAAAATGTTTTATACAAAAATTTTACAATAAAATTATCTCTATTTATTTATGTTAATAAAATTTTTTTTAATGGCTATTTACAAAAATTTTCAAAAATTTTTTAAAATATAATTATTCTAAAAAAATATTATTAAGTAACGTAAATGAATAAAGATAATTTTACTGCAAAACTTTTGTATACAACATTTTTTGATATCTTGAATAGTTTTTGAGATATAACAAAAAAATTAAATATTGCTTAACTTTAAAGGGTAAATTCAAAATTTTTATTGCGTTTTTTCATCGCAACTGATATTTTGTAAATTCATCTGTTTATGGAACCTATGTGCACAAAATTTTATTAAAATCATAACTTGACACTTGTTATAAAACTATAATGTTGTATATTCACACACATCAGTCAAAAAATGTTTTTTTTTCATAACAAAATAATTTCTACACCACCTTGCAGTATATAGCACGGTGCATTTTGTTTATAGTAATTTCTCCAATAGACCCAATCCACTCTTATTTTTTAATACATAAATTATTCGAAATGCTGTCCTCCCTCTTGAATAGCTTATATGATATTAATATTTAAAATAACATTTTTATCTTGAATAATTTTTGAAACATAATACTTAAAATATTTTTATTTTAACCCTAGACTACCACACCATATTTGCCACAAATCTACCGCACTGGGTAAGGTAAAATTTACTCGACCTATCTATTTTGTTGCGTAACTTCGGTTCAAACGTATCGATTTAGAACTTTTTTTTTAATCTATACCTACGCCAGACAGTAAGAAAAGTGACTGAATGGATAGTAACATTCAAAGACCTAATAATGGGTGACAAAAGGCACTAAGAGTCAACACGCAGAAAACGTTGCGTTAAAGTTTCAAATAACGTTGTATTCTATAACTTAAATTACATCTTCTTACATAAGTCGTACATTTTGGTTCACTTCAGACCTTCTTCAGCGATTAATACATAGAGTTCCACCCGATTCCCAATATTCCGTTCGTGATTGTCAGAAATATGTTCCGCAATGTATGAGATCTGTCTCTTATACACATCT